CCAATATTAAAAAAAAAAGGTTTTTAATCTAAAAGAGCACTTGATGTAAACACAAAAAAAGAGGTTTTTAGATAAAAATTAAAATTTAATAAAAAACACTTTTTTAATCTTAAAACAAAATTTAATCATAAAAACACTTTTTTATGTAGGTTTTTGTTTTTTCCTATATAACATCGGCATGCCAATCCCTAATGAGATTAGTTCACATATAAGGCTAGGCCATCGGTTAAACAAACCATATCTCCAACCAAAAACATAACTCCACATAACAAGAGCTGGGAGATAATTCTATTCTGTTTACAAATGTAGTTATTCAATTAAAAACGTTTTTGTTTGAGATATCATTTATACGACGTTTGTATCAGTTTTAACGAGACATGTTACAGAATATATTTAAGTTGAATACCATATATCAGTAAGTCAATATGCATGGACCATTTGTGATATATTTAGGTTGAATACACCTAATTATATTTATTTTGTATCTGATTTCCTGTATCACCCATCTTTGTCTTCAAAACCTAAATAGTTGAGTTTTGTTCCATCACACATTTTTTCTGGTGCATTTTCATCAAACGTATAATTGATTAATGGATAGAAAGAAAAGTTAAAATTGAATTGTATAGGGTCTTAGTATCGATCAAATGGTGTCCTACATTTTTAGGGGGTCCTGGCTCCGACAAAGAGATAAATACTTTGGATTTATGCTTTAATGAGACCAAGGCATAATAAAAGATAAGCATATCTAATATTTTTTTATCATGGGTCACTTACTGAAAATGGCATAATCTTTCGAACTTTCAAACATATACCAATGTTTCAGAAAATTTTCTTCTTTTACAAAAAAAAACTCATGAAAGAAAAAAATATTTGAAAGTTCAAAAGATATACTGGAACAATGTTTTGTGATTTGTTAATGACAAAATGAAAAGTCTCATATTGGTAGTTGGAGAATTAATGTCAATTAATTTTAATTTGAAAGTTCATAATAACTCAAATTTAACATTCTCTAATCTCTAATGCTAACAGAAACATGATCTGTAAGAAAAATATATTTAAGATAAACACGTAGTATGCAAAAATATTGCCTAAGTAATTAAGTGAAACGTAAGATATATACTTTACTCAGAACGGATTTTTCGATTCTCTAGCAAAGACTGTTCGATATTTCTATCGAGAATTGATGTATGTTGGTTGTTCTATTCTGGTCTGGATTCCCAGACTACCTCAAGATTGAGTAATAGATCAGCCGTTCGTTGTAAAAAAAAAAAGATAATTATAAGTTCAATAACTGATATTCTTTTTAAACGCTGCGTTTCGTATGAGCCACATGGGCATTGCTTATGCATATGATGATGAGGATTAGTTGTTTGAGTTGGGATGTGAGTCAATAGAAACCATTGGTAATTCAGAATGGGGGAGTGTTTATAAGGGTATTTCAATTGAATTTAATGGATCATAATAAACTAACGACACTAAGAAGTTTGGCTAAATTAATTACATTAGCACTAAAGATAATCTAATGAGAGTAAAGAACAAGAGAACAAGTCTATCACCATTACATTGGAAGGTGGAAATTCTAACTTCGACAATAGAAAGTATGAAAAATTTATGTTAATATCATATCATTTTTGTGACGAATTATTCAATTGGTTGGTGAAGATGATTTCTGAATCAGAGAATAGTTAGTTTTTGCGAATTATTTGAAAGACATCAAGATTATTCAAGGAAATTTTAATCACTCGGTGATCACCCATTTTCTCAAAATACTGAATACCAAAATGAATAGCCTGGCGCGAAGTGGCAAAAAGCAATCATCTTTCGTTGTTTATATAGATGCTAAGTTACCAGCTTAGTTTGCAGAATCTATTTATGTTGCTTACAAAAAAAAATAGTCTAAAATAAAATATAGTATAACATATATTTCCAAAAAATTAAAAATAAAATTCTATAAAATTTCTACTTCTACAGAGTGAAGAAAAACCGTATAATTGACATCCTTCTAAACATCCATCAAATTTATACTCACAAACTTGACGGATGCATAATTCACGTAGACAATATATAGTAATCCACTAGCTTGAGTTTTATTTCGCGAGCTAGGCCTGGGCATTCGGGTAGTCGGGTCGGGTTCGGGTCGGATCCTTTCGGGTCTAGGAGTTTAGGACCCGATAGGGTAATTTCAAATTTTCGGTTTCGGATCGGTTCGAGTCGTACCGGGTCCGGGTCGGGTCTTAGATAGTTGGACCCATTCAGGTAATTAGAAATTATCGGTTCGGTTCCGGGTCGGGTTCGGTTTGGGTTCGACCTAAAAATACCTAAATATATAAAAAAAATATCTGAAAATATTTATACATCCGAAAATATTCAAAATTTTATTCAAAATTTGTGTTTTTCTTATATTAAAATGTGTATATATATTAAACTATGCGAGATACAACAACAATTTGTTGTCTCCTAGTGGTTGACCCCTTTATTTTCTATAGGAACAACCCGTCTTCGATTCCCCCTCAATTTATTTTATTTAATTTACACTATTAATTCGTGTACTTATCGGGTTTCGGGTTCGGCCGAGTCGGGTCCATGACCTGCGGATTCTCTACAACAAGACCCGATAGGATAATTTGATCGGGTCAGTTCCTACCCAGACCGGGTTTTTCAGATCGGTTTCGGGTCGGGTCTTCGGATTCGGATAAAATGCTCAGGCCTATCGCGAGCTTTGATTACTAAGGACACTATTAATATATGTAGAATTTTATTTTCCTCAACAGTCACATTCGACTGACCATAAACTATAACGACTAACATCATTTTCTCATACATTTTAGTGTGGGGGCAATAAAGCCAGCCGTGTTTTTATTATTCCAAGTGTTTCCATCTAATATAATATAATATAATATAATATATGGTAATATATGTCTCACGCTAAAATCCACGAACACAGAAAGTCCCTTCTAAGAATATACAAGTTTCGATTCTTCGTGATAAAGTATTTCACACGGACTCTGCATGTTCTTTACCTTATTCACATGGCTCAGCTATCTCAAATCATACTATCTAATTACACTTTTGGAGGTGCAGTAAAAGATCAATATACAGTATCACTGTATCAGTATGTTACGTAGGTTAGTACCGGTTCTGGACATGTGCGGAGAGTGCTTTGGCAGAGGGTCCTAATATTTTCTTGTCAATTTTCTTTACAATTAGGGCCCTTATAGAAGAAAAAGACCCTTTTATTTTTTGAACACATAAGAAAAAGGTCTTAAATTTTTGATTTATGCAAAATAAGACCCTAAAATTTTGATTGTGCACAAGGCCTAACTAAGCTTTGGGCCGGGCTTACGTAGGTACTTCATCATAGAAACTGTCATGACATTTTCAAATAGACGTTTTATTTTAGAGTTTGCAAAACTTTATATTTAATATTTAAAAATATTATTCTCCAAAACCAAAATTTTTAAATTAAATTCAGAACTATTTATATTTTATATTATTGTTTTTACACTTTTCATAACTAATTAAAATTCATATTTCTTTTATAAATAACTAGCACATATATAAAAATTATTACATAAATATAATTCTTAAATATTTTGTTATTTATCCTTTTAGTCCTTATAAATTTTTATCTCATAAAATTTCAAAATCGTTTTTTAAAATTAAAATTTTATACATAACTTTTTTTTAAAAACAATAAATATCTTATAACTAGAACTAGAACCATTAATATTACAAAATTTAGTGTAGTATTTAGTTTGTAGTTATATTTATATTTAATGTAACATTGTAATTTTATAATTTTATGATTTTATATTTAATGTAACATTGTAAGGACCAAAATGTAAATAAAAATATGAAACTTCAAGTTTGAAGTTTTGAGTAATTTTAGAATTATTTTATTGAGAGTAAAAAAATTTTATATTTGAAGTTATATAATGTCTTTTGAAGATGTTCTAAGTAAAAAGTTATCCATATTTTATCAACTTAACTATATTATTTGACCAGTTACAAAAAAGAAAAAAAGATATCTAATTTAAATGATATCAGTCACAATTTATTTTTATGTCGTGCCACATTTGGTTTATATTGTGATGAATTAGGAATAGATGCGAGTGTGTAAACACTCGACGTCAACACAAAGAAACACGATCAACGTTTACTTGACGTAATTAACCATATAAACCAATATAAACCAAATCCGGAAGAATGACCAACCTTCATAAACAGAGATCCAGAGGTTTAAGAAACTATAAAATATAGGAGGACTTTGAGAATATGAGGCTTTCTCATATTCCTCGAAATAGGAATGGTCGAGTACATAGATTAGCTAAAGAGGCGAGAAGAAAATAATCTATTTTTTCTCATATAGATCAGACCAGGCGAGACGGAGATGCTCATAGGAGGATCGACTGGTCTGATCAGCACTTGATCTAATTTTAGATGGGCGGCTAGAAAAAAACCATACAAGACTAAGTGGGATTGAGTCAAAGGGTATTTTCGTACTTTGTGATATCAAATCTGATTAATTGAGATTGTGTAGTTGGCCTTCTAGTGGCTTAATCGTGGCCATGAAGTTTCCGCTCTGCTTCTTCTTCTCCCAAATTACCCTACAAATATTTTTTTGAAACTGTACCCTACAAATATACTTTAAAAGAATTTGCTGTAAATTAATAAAATACATAACTTCATAGTGACGAATGGTAATGAACCGACTAGATCTACATCGAGTTATGTACATATATGCTCATGTTAATATTACCACATTTTTTTACATATCAGAAAAAAGAAAAAAAAAAATTGTACAAAGAGACAAATTAGATAGAATTTATACTTTCCAACATAAATCAACCAATAAGGGATGCAAAGAATGGAAAAAAATTGAATGTTACTGAGTGATGGGTAGTTAAGGAACTTATGGTGTTAGGCTGTCCAAGAAAAGAAGCATCTAAAGAGTTCTTCTTTGAGTACAACGTCTTAAATAAGAATATGTCAGTCACATTATTACCTCTCAAAACCATACACACACACACATTATACAATCTCTTCTTCTCTGACATATTATAATGGTGGTTTGAGCAAAGCATTTTTCAGAAGATATAATGGGGAAAACAAGCAAGTGGATTCGGAATTTCTTAACAGGAAAGAAAGAGAGAACAAAAGAAAAGATTAATCAGAGCGAGTGTGGATTCATTTCCACAACTCCAAGCACTCCTAAAGAGAAACGTCGATGGAGTTTTAGACGTTCTTCTGCCACTGCACCACCATCTTGTGCTTCTTCTACCCTCAAAGATTCATCTCCACCGCCTCAAACGCCACCTCCTCCACCACCCCAACCATTTGTGGTGGACAGCGAAGATGAGCAGAGCAAGAACGTTTCAGCGGCAGAGATTACAGTGGAAGTTGAAGAATTTGCAGCAGTGAAGATCCAAGCTTGCTTTCGTTCTCATTTGGTAAAACTCAAACAAACTCGAACTTATTAAATACTCTGTTTCTGGCTACAAACTAACGTTCAAGAGTCCATTTTTATAATTTTTTTTGGGGGGGGGGGGCAGGCGAAGAAAGCATTAAGAGCATTAAAAGGGTTAGTGAAATTGCAAGCACTTGTGAGAGGTCATTTAGTAAGGAAACAAGCAACGGCTACACTAAGATGTATGCAAGCATTGATTACACTTCAAGCTAAAGCTCGAGAACAGAGGATACGTATGATCGGAGATTCACCAACAAAACCCACAAATCCAAGAACATCGATTCATAAAACCCGGATCCATAACCTTTACCACGTAATGGATCTAACCCAGATCTCAATATCTAATCTTGACAACACCCAGATCCCAAAGTTTCTGACTTTGTCTCCTCTGTTTTTGCCTTGCAGGTGAATGAAGAAAACATAAAGATTGTGGAAATGGACACTCAATCTAATTTTTACTCTCCAGCTCCTTCTGCTATAACAGATATGAGTCCTCGAGCGTATAGTAGCCATTTCGAGGACTGTAACTCGTTCAACACAGCACAAAGCAGTCCTCAATGTTCTAGATTCAAAGAGTATTACAATGGAGATTCTTTGTCTTCTTACGATTACCCTCTCTTCCCAAATTACATGGCCAATACTCAGTCTTCTAAAGCCAAGGCTCGGTCTCAGAGTGCGCCTAAGCAGAGACCTCCTGAGATCTATGAGAAGCCGACGACCGGGAGGAGAAGATCTTCCATGGAAGCACCGAGGAACGGTGTCCCCAGAGCTGTAAGGATGCAGAGATCTTCATCTCAGTTAGGCAAGGAAAGTCAAAGTCATCAGCATCATCATCATCATCATCAGCACTATCCGTGGATGGCAATTAAGCTCGATAGATCTCACATTTCTCTTATGGAGAGCGAATGCGGTTCTAGCAGTACAGTTATGACCAATACCAACTACGGTCGACATGTTGATGTAAGTTTGTAAAGATTACTTGTTTCCCAAGAAAATTTTACTTGAGGTTACTTATGTTTAATTGCTCTCTTGTTCTTGGTTATGTATTGTTTTGTTTATTTCTTTCTTGATTTTGGTTGTGGTGTTGCAGGTTCAGGGGAACAACATGTACTGAAAAGTGTGATTAGAAATTCTTGAGTGATTTGAGAAATTGCTGGAAGAAAATAAGACAAGCCTACTAACCGAAGAAGGATTTGTTTTTTAGATGATCAAGATTTCAGAACAAATCTCTGCATGTAAAGAAAAATATGTAGTGGAAGAGACATATCATCTTGATTCTTGCCTTTTGTCTTTATCATTCTCATTAACGTTATGATATTTTGGGATAATATGATCATCTTTGTAAATCCATGTGTATTGCCTATATGTTTATGTTTTAGTGCGGCGCGGAAACGAGAACGAATTGTATAGCCGACCAGATTATAATCCAGTTTATTTGATTTAAGTGGGCAGAAAACTTAGTAAATCATTTCAATTAACAAATACCATAAGATGTTTTTTTTTCTTTTTATTTGAAATTCTTTATTTCTTTTTTTGTTTTAACATCAACAATTCTTTATTAATCACAATGTGAACATATATAATCTTAATGGAAAATATTAGTAATGAACATAGTTACATAGGTACATGAAAACAGTTTAGTATAGTTTGTGTTGTCTTATTAACATAGCAATAGCTCAGTATTTATACATGGATTAAATCCTAATCTGATAATTAAAGACTATGAACTTATTTTTTCTCAATGTATATCAGATAATGATGTAATAAGTTTTTTTATCTGATATATTTAGTAGTTACCTCAATACTAACTCCCTTAAGTTGGAAGTAAATATCGAACACCCAACTTGGACAATAAATCTTCAAATAGTGGTTTTGTTAATGCCTTAATGAGGATATCGGCTAGTTGGTTTTTCAATGTGATCTGATAGTAATGAGTATAGAGTAAACTGCATCGCAAACATGATGACAATCCTTTTCTATATATCTTCTTCTTTTATGAAAGACTGGATTTTCGGCAATATGGAAGGCTGATGATGTTGTAAGAGAGTTTCAATAGAAAAGAATGAGAAATGCTGAATGAATGGGGAAGTTCTTACATCCATTTAAGTTCCTTGAATGAGAAGAATCTATCACGATATTCTGGTTCAGAAACAAAAAGAAACACTGTGTCTTATTTTATTACATCATTATCTAGATATAGTTAGTAGTTTCCTCAATATACATAATAATGAAACAAGAAAAGTTTATGTTTGGAGATAGTCTCTTTAGCCATTTTGTCTGCCACTTTATTACCTTCCCTACCAGTCCAATTTTAAGTGAATCTGATTTTCTCGAACCTTTGTCTCCATCAATTTCCTTCCCTTATAACATTTTAAACATCAAAATGAAGAGTATGACTATTGAGAATATCCCTCAGTTTCTTGCAATATCCTTCATAAATGGTCGTCCTATATATTTGGCTCAACAATGTTGCATTGCTATTAAAAGAACTTGAATTTCACCTTCCTAAGACATACTTAACTCTCCTACCAATGGCCTATTCTACTCCTCTATAGTGTATATTTGCATCTAGCACAATCCGTCGTGCTCTGCTCGGTGTGTTAACATCTACAATGGATCCATCAAAATTACAGTTTAACCATTTTTCCGTTGGTCGTTTACGTATACAAAATCCTATAATGTTTCCTTGTTGCTTATGTTAGATCATAGTTCTGAAACTTGGTTCTCTGCTTTTCATTAAAGAATCTGAGACTGAAGATACCGAGATTCTGTCCTATCCGACCGCATTAGCGATTATAATGGAAATATTGGGATGGGAATCTGCAGAGCCAACTGGAGGTGGAGGAAGTTGTGAAGATGCTTGAAGGGACTGATACCACTAAAGGCGGTGGAATGATACAGGAAGATAAAGAGTCCCGGCGGCTGTTTCTGCTGTGCTCCGGCTCGTGACCTTTATGTTCCCTTCTTATCCATTTTATTTTCTTTATCTTCTGGTTTCATCTTTAGCTCTTCACATTGAATGATCTATGTTTTTCTTCTCAAAGAAAAGTGTGATGAGAAAATGACTAAAATATCACTAAAATTTTTTTTATCATAAATATAGCACTTAAAAATAAAAATGACCAAAATAGCATTTAATGTTTTATCAAAAGAGATAAATATACACATATATCCCAATAATAAATTAATTTAGACATTAGGGTTTAGAGTTAAGGGGTGGGATTTAGGGTTTAGGGTTTAGAGTTTAGGGTTTAGGGTTTAGGGTTTAGAATTTAGGTTTTAGGGTTTAGAGTTGGGAAGCGGGGTTTTGGGGATAAGATTTCAATTTTTGAAAAATAAATTTTTTTAAAAAATTTTCAAAAGATAAAATGCTATTTTGGTCATTTTAATTTTTGAAGGTTATTTTTGTGACATAAATTTAAAAATGTGATATTTTGGAGATTTATCAAAAGTATTTGAACTATATTTATTCTGATTTTGTTTGATCATTGTGAATATGCAAAGTTGAACTAAAAATTGAGTAGTTGTTATATGTGGTTGGCAAAAGAAAAAGAAACAAATTATTGACACTTTGGATATTTTGTGATTGTCTGTCACTAACGAGAGTTAAGTTTTCGTATTCATTGCAATTTGGGAACCAAGATAACATCCAAATATTGAATGACTTATCAAACAATGAATCTATAAGATGTTCTTTCTTTACCTGAGATAAGTGAAACAGAAATTTGAGGTTGCTTCCAAGCCTGTGCAGTCATACTTTTGGGTTCCTAGTCAAGACATCATAAGAATAAAACATAACCGAACCAGTGTTTATTTACCAATAAACCCCTTAACGTTTACTAAACTATCTCTTACATCCTCATACTTAGAGAAAATAGATATTTCAGCACTATCTCATTATGGTTTCTATTTGCAACCCAATATGTCGAAAGTACCCCTAGATATCTTGTGGAATTACCCGATCAACCCGGCTTGTTCCTCAAGTAGCTTTAGCTCTTATGTCTCCAGTGACCGGAGGAAAAGGACAACCGGAATCGAAATGGGGAGAAGATCTAAGTAACCGAAGAAATCTTAGCCTTTGATGAACTATTAATGTATATAACCCGGTTTAGTGGTTTAGATAGATGATGGTTTAGTTAACCAATTGTAAAGCTAACTATATACACATGTAAATGCTCATTTTAATTGATAAGAGATATTTTCATATTGAATCTCCTTCTTCTCTCCCAAGCAATCTTGTACGTAACATGGTATCAGAGCTAATATTGAGCTTGATTTCTGCAATAATTTCTCTTGCTCGTGATTCATAGATCTACAAGTTGCGATGGTATCTGTGAAGAAAATCGGACGTCGATCAACCCGTTTGGCAAGCCGTACAGCTCCGATAGCTTCTCCGGCGGCATCTGGTCCGGATTCTCAGGCTACGCGAGCGGTTACCGGTGATGTCCCGACGGATTCGATACATTCTCCATTCTTTATGCACACTTCCGATCATCCAGGTTTGATACTCATCTCGATCAAACTTGATGGTTCAAATTTTGATGATTGGGAGGCTGCAATGAAGATATTTTTAGACGCGAAGAATAAGATCGGATTCATTGATGGATCTCTACTTTGTCCTCTTGAATCTGATCCAAACTTCCGTGTGTGGTCTCGTTGTAACAGTCTCGTTAAGGCTTGGATGCTTAACTCTGTTTCAACTCAGATCTATCGGAGTATTCTCCGTTTAGGTGATGCGACGGAGGTTTGGAACGATCTGCATAGTCGATTTCATATGACTAATCTTCCTAGAACTTACAATCTCACACAAGAGATACATGATCTGCGTCAAGGTTCACTTTCCCTCTCTGATTACTTTACTAAGTTGAAAACATTGTGGAGCAATTTGGAGAACTGTGAAGAACCTGATGATCCTTGTGTGTGTGGAAAAGCTCTTCGTTTACATCAGAAATCTGAACAAGCTAAGATTGTAAAGTTTTTGGCGGGTCTTAATGAATCTTATGCAGTTATTCGTCGTCAAATCATCATGAAGAAAACCTTACCTTCTTTAACAGAAGTGTATAACATTCTTGACCAGGATGATAGCCAGAAGAGCTTCATTTCTGCTATTCCCCCTGCGGCTTTTCAAGTTTCTGAAACTACTAATTCGTCTCAAGACACTACGAGCATATGTTATGTTCAATCTGGTGCTCACAAAGGAAAACCAATATGTTCCTTCTGCAACAAGGTTGGTCACATTGCTGAGAGATGCTACAAGAAGCATGGCTTTTCACCAGGATACAATTTAAAAGGGAAAACATCTGAGAAGTTGCAGAAACCTTCACCGTCTGTGACTTCCCAAGTTGCTGTTTCTTCTCAGTCGGATTCGAAGCCTCCTTCTCTTAACAGCTTGATTGGGAACCTTTCTAAAGACCAAATCCAACAATTCATTGCTTTGTTCAGCTCTCAGCTTCAGAGTAATGTTGTTGTTAGTCAAGGTGAGGTTTCCACATCTCAGACAGCTGCTGATATCCCGGGTATTGTTTTCTCTCCGTCTACCTTTTGTTTTGTTGGCATACTTACAGTATCTCAACATACTCTTAACAACAATTCTTGGATTCTGGACTCTGGTGCTACACATCATGTATCTCATGATAAGACCTCTTTCACATCTCTAGATATGAATGTGACTAGCTCTGCGAATTTACCAAATGGCTCTATGATAAAAATCAGTGGAGTGGGAAATATTCAATTAAACAAGCACATTCTTCTCAAGAATGTGTTGTTTATTCCAGAGTTTCGTTTAAACCTCATCAGTATCAGCTCCTTGACTACTCATCTAGGGTCTCGAGTGATATTTGATCCGTCTACTTGTGAAATACAGGATCCTATCAAGGACTTGATGATTGGTCAGGGTAGGAGAGTGGGTAACCTGTATGTGCTGGATGTCATTGATGCTCATGTGATGATCAATGCAGCTGTGGATATTGGCACTTGGCACAACAGACTCGGACATGCTTCCTTCTCAAGACTTGATCTAATCTCTGACGCTTTAGGAACAACAAAATCCAAGAATAAAGGGAAAGCTTTCTGTCATATATGTCATTTGGCAAAACAGAAGAAACTTTCTTTCCCATCACCAAACAACATATGTAATTCCAACTTTGAGCTTTTGCATATTGATGTTTGGGGACCATTTTCGGTTGAAACAGTGGATGGATTTCGATATTTTTTGACCATTGTGGATGATCATTCTCGTGCTACTTGGGTCTATTTACTGAGAACAAAGGATGAAGTACTTATAGTGTTTCCAGCTTTTGTGAATCAAGTAGAGAATCAGTTCAACGTAAAAGTCAAATCTGTAAGATCAGACAATGCTCCAGAACTAAAATTCTCAGAGTTCTTTCGAGAAAAGGGAACTTTTGCTTACCATTCTTGTCCAGAAACCCCGGAGCAGAACTCTGTAGTTGAGCGCAAACATCAGCACATCCTTAACGTTGCCAGAGCCTTCATGTTTCAGTCTCAGCTTCCGCTTGCCTATTGGGGTGATTGTGTATTGTGTGCAATCTTTGTGATCAACCGTACACCCTCTCCTCTTCTTGGTAATAAGAATCCACATGAGGTTTTGACTGGTAAAGTTCCTAACTATGATCAAATGCGTTCTTTTGGATGTCTATGCTATGGCTCTACTTCACCAAAACAGAGACATAAGTTTCAGCCACGATCAAAAGCTTGCATTTTTCTGGGCTATCCATCTGGATACAAGGGTTACAAGTTACTTGATATGGAGACAAACAAGATTTCTATCTCGAGAAATGTTGTGTTTCATGAGGAGGTGTTTCCATTAGCTATGTCCCCCATGAATGAAGCTGCATTGACTCTCTTCACACCACCTTTGTCCTCAGGTAATATGCATCCTTCTTCATCTCATTCCCCAGAAATTTCTCCATCCTCTGTTCAACCACCACAAATTTCTTCTAGAACACGTAAACCACCTGCTCATTTACAGGATTATTTCTGTAATACGTTGGATTCTGATCTTTTTCACCCTATTTCCTCTTCTCTTTCATACCCAAAAATCTCTCCATCTCACTTATCATACACTAACAACATCACCAAAATCTCAATCCCTCAATCCTATTCTGAGGCAAAGGATTCTAAAGAGTGGTGTGAAGCTATAGATAAGGAGTTTAATGCTATGGAGGATACGCATACTTGGGATGTTACTACTCTACCATCTGGTAAGAAGGCAGTGGGTTGCAAAGTTCTTTATTCTCTGAAATTTCATGCTGATGGATCTCTTGAGAGAAGGAAAGTTCGAGTTGTGGCTAAAGGCTATACACAGAAGGAGGGCTTAGACTACACAGAGACTTTCTCACCCGTGGCTAAGCTCACTACAGTTCGATTCTTATTGAAGGTTGCTGCTTCTCGAAAATGGTTTCTTCATCAACTTGACATATCAAATGCTTTCTTAAATGGTGAGTTGAATGAAGAAATCTGCATGAGGATTCCTGATGGTTATGCAGAGAGAAAGGGACTTGTTTTGCCTAAGAACGCTGTTCTACGTTTGAAGAAATCGATTTATGGCCTTAAACAGGCTTCGAGACAGTGGTTTTTGAAATTCTCTGCTGCTCTAATGCGATTGGGTTTTAAAACAGCAACTGGTGATCACACTTTGTTCTTGAAGTCGTGTTCTGATGGTCATTTTCTGGCAGTATTGGTCTATGTCGATGACATTATTGTTGCCAGTTCGAATGAATCTGTTTTTAAGGCTCTTATTCAGGACTTATCTCAGCAGTGTAAACTACGTGATCTTGGTCCTTTGAAGTATTTTCTAGGCTTGGAAATTGCTCGTTCTAGTGAAGGGATTTCTGTGTGTCAAAGGAAATATGCTTTGGAGATTCTCACTTCTTCTGGTATGTTGGGTTGTAAGCCTACTTCTACGCCTATGATTCCTAATCTTCATTTATCTATTGAAATGGTGACCCTATTTCTGATCCTGCTATGTATCGCAGTCTTGTTGGTCGGTTAATGTATTTAACGATTACACGACCAGATATCACATATGCAGTGAATCGGTTGTGTCAATTCTCATCTGCACCACGTTCTCCTCATCTTCATGCTGTGTATCGGGTGTTGCAGTACATTAAAGGGACAGTAGGTCAGGTCTTTTCTACTCTGCCACTGCTGATTTAACTTTGAAAGGGTTCGCTGATGCAGATCGGTCTTCATGCCGTGATAGTCGTCGTTCCACAACTGGTATAGCTATGTTTCTTGGGGATTCAATGGTTTCATGGCGCTCCACTAAGCAGGATACTGTCTCTTGTTCGTCTGCTGAAGCAGAGTACAGAGCATTATCTAATGCTTCAAAGGAGTTGGTCTGGCTCATTAAGTTGTTGAATGATCTGCGTGTTCCTCTGCTTCACACTCCTATCTTATTCTCTGATAGTACTGCAGCAATATATATAGCTACCAACCCGGTTTTTCACGAGGACTAAGCATATAGAGAATGACTGTCACTTTGTTCGGGAAAGGCTTGATCGTGGGATTATCAAAACTCTACATGTGCGTACTGAGAATCAGATTGCAGATTTATTCACCAAGCCTTTGTTTCCTTATCAGTTTGAGCATCTTAAGTCCAAGATGATTATTCATAATATCTTTGGAAGCTTATCTTGAGGGGGCCTATTAATGTATATAACCCGGTTTAGTGGTTTAGTTAGATGATGGTTTAGTTAACCAATTGTAAAGCTAACTATATACACATGTAAATGCTCATTTTAATTGATAAGAGATATTTTCATATTGAATCTGCTTCTTCTCTCCCAAGCAATCTTGTACGTAACATGAACAGATCTGAAGATGGAGTGCGTGTTCGGTCTAGTTGGTAATGGATTCGCTATCGTAGCGGCGGATACATCGGCAGTTCACAGTATCCTTGTCCACAAAAACAACGAGGACAAGATCATGGTCCTTGACTCTCACAAGCTCATCGCCGCAAGCGGGGAGCCTGGTGACCGGTAAATCCACCTCCTCCGTCTCTCTTTCTCTCTGAATTGGGTTTGATTTTGGATATTTTTTTGTATAGGGTTCATTTTACGGAGTATGCTCAGAAGAATGTGTCACTGTATCAGTTCCGAAACGGGATCCCTTTGACTACTGCCGCTGCTGCCAACTTCATTCGTCGAGAGCTCGCCACTGCTTTGAGAAAGGTTACTTATTTTCCAACTTTGAGTTTTGGGACATGTTGGTTGTTATTTTGAGCTTAAGGAATTAAGGTTTCTAAGTTCCTTTGCGTTTGGATGCTTTTATGAGATTTTGCAGTATTAGCAGATAATAAATTTGTTGGATCAATTTTGGGTTTTGGGAGTGATCGATCAATAATGTGCTTATTCTTTTTAGTCGAACTTGTGTGTTATTGAGGTATTGGATTGAAAGTATTTTGATAGTTCATGTTCTTGTTTATACCATTAAGCCATTGTTTACAGAACTTATCCTGATGTAAAGCATGATAAGTAATTTATCATTGTACCCTTCGGGTTGATTGGAGTAACAGAGTTGAGCATCCTTATGTCAAGCTTGATAAGTAATTTGATCCTGGCTTTTGAGAAGAATGTACAAAGACTAGGAAGTTTTGTCTACTATGATTTTGTGACTATTATGAAGTTCAGATACTCATGCCTAACTGACATGTGATATTTTTTTTCAACTTTTAGACATTTTAGGGGTACTATACTATGTATGTAGCCTTTGCTTAAGATTGCTAATGGAAACTGAAAATGGCGATGGTAGAAACTCTATTAGTTTTCCACAATTGTTCTTCTGATTTACCTTGTTTCTTTTAGTTGTTTATGAATGGTTGATCATCTTGAGATATCTCATTGCTTTTTAAATCTGTTTGATTCCAGAACCCGTACTCAGTAAACATCCTGATGGCTGGCTACGGCAAAGAAGCAGGCGCATCTCTATACTACATCGACTACATTGCAACTCTTCACAAGGTTGACAAGGGAGCATTTGGTTACGGCTCATACTTCTCTCTCTCCACAATGGACAGGCACTACCGCAGCGACATGTCAGTTGAAGAAGCCATTGAACTGGACGACAAATGCATACGTGAGATCAGGTCAAGGCTGGTCATTGCACCACCAAACTTTGTGATCAAGATCGTTGACAAGGATGGAGCTCGTGAGCACGCTTGGCGTCAGTCTGTACAAGATGTCACCACTGCTTCTGTCTAACTCTGTTATGTTTGCCTTTTTACTAAGCTGGCATTTACTTTTCATGTTAAGCTTCATGGAAAATTAGTAAACAGTGAATGATGACTCTTAGACGTTGAAATGAAAACATTTTTTCTTATAAGAGAACATGCTATGCTAGTTTTGTATATGGAAGGAGAGTAAAAACAAGTTGCTTCAGATGCGAGTGAGGATAGAAGTGGCCAAAGTCATGATGATGATTGTTGAGAGAAACAACACGTTACTGATTTTCTGAGAGCCGTTTATGATGAGTTGTGGTGGTGAGACGTTATCTATATCCGGCGAGAACTGATCGGAGCTTGGTGAAATCCTAGAGGTTTCCGGTGGTAAGCCAAGCGATTGAGGAGAGGCAGAGTCTCTATCACCTGCAGATATCAACGAATCTCAATCTCGATCAGTTTAACCACAAATTCATCAAAACCGATGTTGTTTCTTTACCGTAATCAAACGGAGACGTGAACTGAATACTCTGAAGCGGCGGTAGCTCAGGCGACACTGCACCACAAACAAAGATCAAGATCCCTAAAACTACACATCTAAGGTTCAATTTGGATTAGAAGAATCGAAACTAAACCTGACGGCGAGCAAAGAGACTCGAAAGACTCGTCGGAACTCTTGAATTCGGTACAGATCTGAGAAAGAGAAAGCAACCTAGATCGATCCAACGGGAATCCGAGGATCATCGGCTGGCGGAGAAGATAACAGAGGCAGTTCCCGGCGGTGGAGTGAACTGAAGCGGAGAAAACAGAGCAGCAAAGAGGATCCGCCGTCGCTGACACGTTGTTCGGCGGAGCAGAGACGTAAGGGATGCATGGAGAGAACATAACCAGCTCCTCCGCGCAAGTCGGAGCCGGTGGAGAAGAAGAAGGTGGCTGCGTCTCGGCCACGGCGAGTATGATGATCGCGAGTATGGGGATGAATACGACGGTGGAGGCCATTGTCGTCAGTTTCAGAGAGAAGAGATCCTTCGTGATTTCAGTTACAGAGATTATGGACTGGTGACTCGCGTAACGATATGGTGGCGGGAAATAACAACTTGATGAGCCTTTGATAAATTCATGTATTTACGAATTTGCCACTGTAGCTCGACTTTACCGGCATGAATCAGCCATTTCCAGTACACGTGTACAAATTAGCTTAATTTCGCATTTTGGACGGAATATTAAAAGCCGATAATTTTACGTTTTAATTGTTACCTAGATTTTGATCCGCGCTTAAAAGCGCGGAAGTTTTTTATGATTAAAAATTTATATAATTGGGTTTTGTCTTAGTTTAAAGAATATTTTGATATAAAATCAGTTCACCAAAATTTGTGGTGATGATTATTTTTCATTAGTTTTTAGTTTCAGTTTTTATTTTTAGATTTTGGTTTTTAGTTTTTAAGTTTCTACTTTTCATTTTCAGTTTTTGGTTTGGGTTTTTAATTTTTAAACCCGCTGAGTTAGTTTGAACTAATATTACCAACAAACAAATCTCAAATAATCGAACATCTAATTCAAAACTGAAAAGATGACAACAAATTTTTTTAAAAAAATTTGAAATAGTTTATTTTGTAAATAAACAAAGCAAAAAAAATATAACATGTGTTTTCAGCTTTTGGTTTTGGATTTTAGTTTTTAGATTTGTTTTTTGGTTTTTCTTTACATTTTTTTAATCTGTAAATTATTTAAGAAAAATAAAACAATAAATTATTTAAAAGTTACCATTGAAATTTATCAAAACAAAGTGATTGTTATTTAGAATAAAAAAAAATATTAACATGTTTTAAAGTACATGATTTAAATAAATGATTAATAATAGATAATTTTGTTTTGTTAAAAATATTAAATACCTTTTGGGTCTAAAAATAATAATTGATTTTTTGATCTTTTAAGGTGAAAATTTTATTCAATGTTTTTAGAGTTTTTTTCTTAATACTAAGCCCAAAAACCAAACTAAATAATTTGTTCAAAAAATAAAAGTAAGCTCAAGAATATATTTCATGTGGAAGCCCCCTTAGTCCAGTGGTTTGACTAAGGGTTCATTAATGCTTCTACACCCGGAGGTCTGGGGTTCAAACCCCAGAAAAACCCAAATTATGCAGATTATGGAGAAACAAGTTACAAGAGATCTTCAGCTTGGTGCAGGGCGTACCATCGAACATGGATCTCATAGGACGGCTCGGAGTGATGCAGTCAGGCGTGTATTCTCGCAAGATGGTAGAATTGTCGGCTGTAAAATCGTCTATGTAATATTCTCATCGTTGTAATAGCATAATTAATCAGACGTTAAAAAAAAAAAAGAATATATTTCATAAATAACCACTGGTTTAATTTAAGTATAATTAGTAAATTTCCATATTCCATATTTTGATGATATATATTCTTTTAGAACATTCCATATTTGTAGGAGAAAATATGTGTTTTCGGTATACACATAGATACCTGCCATATTTTGAAGGTAGTTTACATTAAGATCATTTCTTTACATTAATTGTGTTGGTTTAATTTAAGTAATACGGTTTAATCAATTATATGACTTATATTATTTGTAACATTCTAGAAAGGGTCCAAATTTAAATGACAACTTGTATGAGTAGATAAAAAGAATGACTCTGTTTTAATATAGTAGATAAGTGACCCGGGGGTATAAAAATATAGTATAATGTTGAGACAGTAGTATCAATTAAGTTCAAATGTGGGAGTTAGTGGAACAAGTGAGAGTTTCAAAGCTAAGATAAATTTTGCACAAATCTCTAGGATGCAGTAGGGGATTACAAATCGTTATTTTTTCAGTTTGGTTTGTTTAGTTCGGTTTTAATATATTTTTTTCAACTGAATAAACCTTATTTATTCTGGTTCGGTGTGGTTTATGTCCAGTTTAATTTATATTCAGTTCGGTTTGTTTTTGGATCGGTTTAATTAGGCTCTTTATCGCTTAATTTTGTAAAAGAAAAATTATGTTTTAAAATATATACACATAAAGTATGTGAACTAAATTAAATATTAAACTGAAAAAAAACTAAAAAAGTCACAAAAAGTATATAAGAATAAAACAAATGAAAGTTAACTAAAGTAAAAAAAAAAATAACATCAATAGTATGTTTTTAATAAAAGTTAACAATTAAAAAAAAATGTAAGAAAAATATACAGGGTACAGTGATATATTAAAAAATGTGATAAAAATCTCATAGATATCACAATCCCATAGAAAATGTGAGAAAAGTTTAAATATAATTCATAAGTAATATAAAATAAGAAGAACAATTATGAATTAAAAAAATTTCATAGAAACCTGCAAAAAATTGTCAATTTTTTTTAACAATTGTACAATATCAAAATAATTTAATAGATTTCTAAATTTTATCGAGACGAAAATAATATTGAATTTGCATATCGCTATTGAAACAAACTGAAAAATGGTTTGTAATCAACTACAAACGGTCTTTCATCTGTGTTATTTATCTGTTAATAGAAAAAACAAACAAATGTATATATATAGTAAATTACTTTTTTAAGATCCATATTTATATATATATATAATTAAGATAATAGTTTTGTTTTTTCTAAATCTCAAATCACCATTATATTTGTGGTTTTCTAAATGGATAATAGTTTTGGGATTTTCTAACTCAAATCACCATTATCATATAAATTTGTGCAAGTAATTGATAGCAAAATAAGGTAATCATCATATTTCCGAATTAACTAATTAGGAAATAAAGAACATACACATTTAATGCAATATCACATGTGTAGTAGAACCTCTATAAATTAATACTCGATAAATTAATAATCTCTATAAGTTAATAAATTTTCTCGGTCCCGAGTTGGGCCGGTTCAAAATATGACATAAATCGATAAAATAATAAGATAATAACTTTTTAGAAATTCCTATATAAATATATGGTCCATTAAAATCATAAATTAATAATATATCTACATATACATTTTATTATAAGTATAACCTAAACTATATTATTGATTTTATATTCACAATGAAAATTCATGTATTCTTTCTTAACATTTCAATATATTTTGATAATATTTAGTAAACTTATATCAAAAAACCACATATAAATTATATGAAACATAATAATGTAAACTAAGTAATTTAATTAAATAATAAGAAAGTCAAATTTCTAAAATTTTATGAATATATATATACCATAAAATTAAATATAATTTTATTTTCTAAATAAAAATATTTTAAGAAGATAAAAAATCTATAAAAGGAAACTTTTTGTAAATTAACATCTCTATAAATTAATAAAATTTTAAAGTTCCAATACTATTAATTTATAGAGGTTTTGCTGTATATAGTTACTAATAAATGACATCATAAAAGAACAAGAAATTTACTTAATAGACATATATTTTCACAAAATTTTAACTTTTAAATTTGTCAATTAAATTTATATTTAAAAAATACTTCCTAAAAAGATTATTTCATTTTTTATATATAATAAAAATATTCAGATTATATCATATTTAAAGAATAATTATGAATTAATAATCATATTTTATCATTAAGTCTTATGGTTCCTGAAATATTTGTTATAAAAAATTTTGTAAAGACATTTCTTGAGATATATAAAGTCTTATGGTTCTTGTAATATTTGTTTCCTTTTAATAAACATGAAGCAATTAAAGAAAGATATTAAAAATTGACTGTCATAAATTTGCAATAATTAACATATCATTTAAGACAAATAACTGATGGAAAAATAAGGTAATCATCGTATCAACTTGCGCAACTAATTGATAATAAAATAAGGCAAGTTATTAATAAACAAATTAACTAATTAAAAACCTTTACCAACAAGGTATATCTTTCCTAATACCATAATATGGTTATAAAATTAAAGAATAATAAATAGTTTTAATTTTGATGTATTGTAAATCTATAGAAATATATAATAATTATGTTTTATCACTTATATTTAATATAGAAATTTGTATTTAACCAATCTAATTCTAACATTAGTATTAGAAATATATACAAAAATGTTACACATATCATATTCTAACTCTGAATTATATACATAATTTATTATGTTATAAATTGTATAAAGTTATATTATAATTGAGATAGAACTATATAGTTTATGATGACAAAAAAGAAATATATAGTTTACATATATGAATTTATAGGATATACATTTTATAATATGATAAATTGTATAAAATCATATTTGAGTACAAAGTTGATAAAATGTATAAAAAGTTATACTAACTTTTATAATAAACTATTGATTAAATTTTTTTTTTCTTTAGTGTATAAGCAAATAATTATTTGAAAAACATAGAGAAAGTAACAAAGTATGAAACTTACATTGTAGTTTACGTGTTTTGGATGATATGATCATATGTAATGTTCATGTCTCTGAATAACATGAATGTGAAGAGAGGTTTAAGTACATATGGATCCACAGGAGGAAACGTCATAATCGTTGGTCTGCGCATATAAACTAAAATTGTAAATTGAAACTAATAGAAAAATACATATGAAAGCATTCTTCTCCTTCTAAGCTCTAACAAACAATGATTAAATAGAAATATAATACCTATGAATATATTTAAAAAAGTAAGAATTAGAATTCAAATAGATCTACGATTAATCAAATCATATAGAAAGATAAAAAAACATTTCCTGCATCGTGGTGAAATCGTTATAATAGGGCATCTGCATATAAACCAAAAGAAAAGTCAGCTCTGATGAAATATGTATATGTAAAATCTTAATGGTGTAAAATAACAAAAACAATATCAACATAAAAAGTTCAGAATAAAAAGTTCAGTGGCTTCGTTTCTCATACTGTGAATGTCTTATATATAGTAAATTGATGGATGTTTCTCAATGATTTAGCTTGCATGATAAGCTAATAAATAGAATATTCTCTAATAAATTATTGAGAATATTATATATTCTGTACGATTAATCATATGAGAAACTGTGTATAGAAACTATATATTAGAAATTGTATATTCAATATTAATAAGGTAAGTTAATAATAACAAACAACCTAATTAGATACAAATCGATAAATCGCACTAAACAATGTAATCAATATGATATCAAGAGTGAATTGTTTTCCGTATTTGTAATAAGGAAATTCATTAATACATGTTTTATTAATTTATATTCTTGCGCAAGTAATATCTAATATAGAAAATTATTAATACATGTATTAATTATTAGTAAGGTTAGTAAATTATTAGTGATTGACCAATTAATATTCTTGGCTTAATTTCATTATTATGCAAGTAATGTAGTTTTTAAATAAGGTAAGACATTTAATATGAATTATTATATTTGATAGATTTAAAAATTAATTGAAATAGATTAAAGAAAGTTACAACTTGTGCGACGTATGTATTATTAAAATAAGGTAAGTCATTAAAAGGAATTAACAAAATTGGAGTGTTTGGAAACGTCGATAGTTTTGTTATCAAATTACTCTTCGCGCTGAATTAAAAAATAGAAAAAAAATTAAAAAAAAATCAACCAATAAGATTATGAGAATTAATCTTAGAAGCCCCCTATGAGTGTCACGTGTCGAGAAATCACTAAAGTGACTTCTCTTTTAATGTATAGGGGGATCTTCAAAATTTATGAAAACTAAGCAACTGGTATCTAATTGAATGATCGAATTAGTGTAACAGTATTAATATTGCATGGATAGCATGAATGCGCTATCATAATTCATAAGTGTGACGAGTAAGCACTTTCCAAATTTAATGTCATATAACACCACCACTTGGAAGTAGGAAATGGTCATTTTCTCTGTCAAATTTGATTCAAATAATTGCATCTCCCCCGCATAAGCACAGAGCCGGAATCATTGCTGTTTGTGTATGTCCTTTTCGATTGTTGGTTTAGTGAATTCTTCTAATAACACTAAATAATGATGAAATGAAAAGAATATAGTAAGAGTGTAAACTGAAATATTGTATATATAATGTGTTAAATATTATTTATATGAGAAGTAAGGTTTATAAGAATAGTTAAATTATAATATAGTTTTTATTGTGTAAAAATAGGTGTCTATCTTATTTTTGTTCTTTCTTTTTTTGCTGTAAAAATATGTCTTTACTAGATCTTTTCCAAGTAAACTTACAAGTCTTACTTAATGAGGAAAACACAAGCCTCATGTGCTTATATGATCTAACACATGATCCAAAAAGCTCTCTCTTCTTTAACCCTTTATATTTTATATATTTTTCAGCTAAGAGACGGTTCTTATATCTCTTATTTAAAAGACGATTCTTAATTTTTTTAAAAAAAATCTAAAAAAATTAAGAACTATCTATTATCCAAAAATAATAACCCCAGTCTCTTAATTGGGGTTAATCGTGGTCTTAGACCAAAAACCACCAAGTAGGAATACCTAACTTCTTCTATTTGTATGTTTTGACTATTAGTTGATATGAGCAACAAATAAACATCAAATAAATGAAGAATGGAGCCCTGAATCTGACCACTTTGTCTCCAGTTCAACAAATCAAAATCTCATGTCCTTTCGAACATGGAGCCAACTATTACAACTATTTGCCCTCTCTAATCTTAATCATCATTTATTTATGCAAAACATTGGTATCATGCAATAAATATTTACTTCCACGTGGAATAAAATACCCAAAACATACATGCCAAATGTCACAACCTACAAGCTCTTTGGTCCACTTAAGAAACCTTGAGGTGGAGAAACAGTGAAGGTGCTTTAATTGAAATTAGGCTATTAGGAATAATTTAGTTCAGGATAATATTTCAATATCAAGATAATGAAATTCAAAGGTGCCACAACGTGTTCGAAACTTTTCTAGAATACAATATTAATGCTCCCAAGTATAGAGCCAACATATAAACCCCACCATGCAAACACGTATACTATCACGTGTATATAACAGACAATTAGATTAGTTGTTCAATATTCAAATATCAACAAAAACATTTTATCGTCAATCTATCCTCAGACTAGAGAATCATATACTCGAAAACAGTTTAACATTAAGCAGCAGTACTGTTGGACTTGGAGCCATAATGATGAAAATCGAATCGGTGGCGTGCGAATGTTGCGGCTTAATGGAAGATTGTACACAACAGTACATAAGTGAAGTCAAAGCTAACTTCGCCGGAAAATGGCTTTGTGGACTTTGCGCCGAGGTGGTTAGCGACGATGTCAGCCGAGATCGGAAGCTGACGACGGTGGAGGAAGCTCTTAATGCTCACGTGTTGTTTTGTGGAAAGTTTAAAGCTAATCCGGCAGAACTCGTCGCCGACGGCATGAGACAGATGCTGCGTAGGAGGTCAGGAGGTGACTTGTTGCCGGCCAAGTCCAAGAAATTCGGAAGATGTAAGTTCTAAGTACACAACGTAGCTGTGTTTATAAAAAAAAAAAAAAAAAAAAAAAAAAAAAAAA